ATAATTTTTCTATCCAGCTTTCAATCTTCCAATGCCATAGTATTTTACATTTATACTTTTAGACGATCTCAACAATATGATTATTGGGATATATTTTCTGTTTTATCAAAACTTACAGCTTCAACTTTTAATGCAATTTGAACATATCCATGCACATATACTAAAAGTTACTCCATGCACATATAACTAAAAGATTACTCTTACATTTTGCTTACTGAATTTTTTTCTATCTCTTTGATGTTTGAAAGCTTTCTCATTTTTTTCCCCTTTTTGTATTCAAAAAAATTTTCTTAATTGTAATACCATTCTTTCTTCAATTAAGTTATTGAAATATTAGTTAAAATTTTTTTATCCAACAAGTCATAAGACACTTGTTAAATAATAAAAAAAAGAAGCTTTACACACAATAATATATTTCTTAAAAATGAAACCGAAATTAATTCTACCTCCGTAAAAACAAAGGACTTGTCTCCTCTTTCAAGTTGCCCCAGACTTCCCTACATTATAACACTACCTACGTCTTTTTATTTATCCCCACTTTTACCCACACCACATTACTTGTCACCATCCACCTGCTTCCCTTGGTAAACATAACACTATTCGAAATTCAACTTCGGTTTTTATTGCTTCAACGATGCTCTCTTTTTGCTCGGACATTTGATCTTAGAGGGCTCTCTGATTTCCTCTGTCCTTGTGTGAAATAGGACGGAATAGCAGATGAATTTTCAATAATGGAAGGACAGGACAGCAATGACTGGCCCCTTCGGCTCCAACCTTAGCCCCCAATCGTGTCGACGCATGTGCCGTAAAAGATTTGTTGTTTCCTCTTTTAAAAACTTAATCGGTTGCTAATATTAGAATCTTAACCAACTTGCTTTGTTTCTTGCCTCTCTTAGAACTCATTTTTTTTAATTCAAATGGAACTTCTTGAGATCGCACTTGTTAGGAGACTAAAAACTTTCGCTCTATTTGATCCGAAGGAATTAAACAACCTCCAGTTAATAAAAAAAAATTGAACTTCATTAATGTTGTGATAGAATTGGGGGAAGAGGGAGAAGAAGAAGTTGAGAGAGTAATGAAAAAAAACAGCTGCTATGAAAATAGGTGGAATAGACAGAAATATAGAGACTATAATAAAGGACAGCAAAAGAGTGCATATATAAATAGAGAGAACTATTGTTATATTGGAACAAGATCATTAAGAATACTAGAAACATTTTAAGGAAAGTATTAGAAAAATAAGATATATATATATATATAGGATTGCACTTTAAATAATTTAAGAATTATATTGACAATAAAGTTATGTCAAATATCATGAAAAAAATAACAAATTATCAAATAGATCAACATATTTATAATATCAATATAAAAGCGTATTGAATAAAAAAGTATTATAAGATGATTAAATAATTATAAAATATTAATTAGGGATCTATTAGATATTTTCTGAATTATTTTACTTCTAGAAAAGAACTATCATATTTGTAATATTGTTTTGTAGGAATATGACACTCTTATATAGAAATATATTAAAATTAATAATATTAATATAGGGTTAAAGGAATTGTAATAGTAGCAACAAAGAATCATAAATTTAGAAAGGCAAAAGTATAGTAACTATCATAAAATTTCAAATAAATTAATGAAGAACTTGTTTAAGACTAAACTTGATGACAATAAAAAGCTGACGCACGAGTGTGAGCTTAAATAACAACTGAAATAATCAACAAATAATAGAATTAAGAAAATCGGAAATAAATCGGACTCATTATAAAATTAAATTGGAGAACTCAGAATAAATCAACTTACAATAAAGGAATTAATCGAAACGCAAAGATCTAAGAAAAAGATTTTTACTATAGAGACTGAAACTATAAGAAGACAATTCAAAAAATGAGCGGGATCATTTTCCCATTTATAATCTAACTTAGGCAGATTATTGATTGTTAGATTTTTTTTTTTTTTTTGTTTTAAAGATGGGGAAATGTAATTTTTTGGAAAAAATTATACAACATCACAGTATCCTTAATTGTTATAGAGATTTGTCCAATGTGATCTACTTTCAAACTCACCACATATCCTCAATAATTTGTTACCCAATTTATTATTTATTATTTTATTATTTTCACTCGACTTGTGCATACATGCTATATCATTTCAGTGCACACCCAAATGGGCCATTTGATATGAATATGTATGAGCGCAGCTACATGACATCTCTATTTTCCTACTAAGCGTATTCTCATTCTACACTGCTAGATGTAAGTTTTTTTTTTTTTTTTTTTTTTTTTATCATCAGCAATATATATTTATTTTATTAATTTATATCTAAGGAAAACTTAGCATTTCCAAGTTAATAAACTCAAATCATCAGGTTCGTTAAATACACTTAACCTAACTCGAAAATGATAAGTAAAAAAACTTGAAAAAGCTCAACTTACATAATATGATCTCTTTTTAAGATAAGATAAAAAAAATTTCAAATCACAACGATACAATAGCCTAAAATATTAAAAAAAAAAAAAACAAACTAAACAATTCTGAGATATTTTAACATCTTTCTTCGCCAAAAAAATCAGCAAAACAATTTTATTTCCTAAAGACAACCTGAAATTTGATATGCGGTTTCGACAAAGGGCATAATATCTATTGAAACTTTACCACAATTTCTAAAGCTCTAAAGAAGACTACAAATAAATTCTCGGATATGAAACCTCACTAATATTACAGAGAAGCCAAAGACTAAGATCAGCAGAAGGATAATCCAAAATATAAGTACCCATGGAAAATTCTTCCGCCCATAGAGGGTACATTTTGGTTTCATTATAATAAAAGGGAATGATCTACTTGTTCCTGATGCATGAGTCCATCCATATATCAAAGCAATTAAAAGTTGATAAAAAAGAAAAAACTTACCTAGATCGGATCCATGGCCGCACCTATGAATCAAATAAATGAAATTAAAAATTTTTTAAGAAGTGTTCCGAAGCCATTTAATTGTAAATAATAATTTTTTTTTTATTTTAATCATCCGGTATTAGAAGCTTAGTGACCCGATTAATCCGGATTCACACCGGCAGGCTCACAAAAAGGCGAAGCGCTTCCTCCCGAGTGTTTAAAAGGACTCCATACCCAAGGCTCGAACTAAAGCCTCTGGTTAAAAGAGAAATAATCACTACCATCTCATTTTATCCCTTGGGGATTTGCAGACAATAATTTAATCCTATTATTAAAGCAAGTTTTAATTAATGTGATACTTTCTTTTGAAATTTTAATATATATATTGGGGATTTTGAGACAATTCAATTTAATCCTATTATTAAAGCAAAGTTTTAATTTAATGTGATACTTATCTTGGTGAAATTTTATATATATATGAATATACTTATATAATATATATATATATTATAATTATATATATTATAGATATATATATATATATATTCAATTTAGATTTATGATATCAGATTCAAATAATATTATAATTTGGAACAATGTGAGAACGAGAGATACAGACTAGTCAGTTATCTCTGAATTACAGATGACAAAATCTTGAAAATTTCCAATCAATGATAGGAGTTGGGAAAATAAAAAAAAGAAAAGTTTTTATATATATTAATTTTTGAGATTTAATTATCATATTCAAAAATATTATAAATTTGAAACATGTGAGACGAGATACAACTGAGTCCACGTTCATCTCTGAATTACAATGACAAAATCTTGAAAAATTCTTCAATCAAGTGGAAAATAAAAAAAGAAAGTTTTGACTGGGTTCCTTTGACGTTACAACTCAATTTGGCATATATGAAAAATTTAATCTAATTAATTAAATTTGGACCAAAGGACGACAAATCTGAATGCTACAGAAAACCTAGTCAAAACTCCAAGCAGTCCATTATTTACCCAGTCTGTGTACAAAATTCGTTATTATTAAATATTGTGAGTAATGTTACTGTTGTTGACCATGCCCTCGCAACAATATATATATAATGACAAAACGAGTCAAATTTTCATTCCAAATTTTATTTTCTTTAATTTATTAAGTAGACTATAATATGTTCATTATAGACAAACAGACATTGATAAGTACCTTGAAACCAAAATATAAGTTCTTCATAGAATGAAAAACACCAAGAAGGGGAGTAAATGCTGAATAATATTGTTTGGGATAAATTAGTTTAATTAAATTTAAATAAAATTTTGTTATTTTTGTACATTTGATTTTTCTTTTGTCGTTCCTAGTTGGAGCCACGTATATATTAGTGGCATGAAATAAAATGTGGCCTATAGTTTTGTTATTTAACTTAATTAAATGGTCTAATTTCCTGTTATTTTATATATGATTATAATTATATATATTATCGTGTCTTGACATTAAGACTGAAACAACCTTAATTATGGTGATCTGGTTAGTCTTCTCGCTTATTTTAAAAAGTGAGAAGTCTCAAATTTAGATATTATATTATGGATTTTTAAAAAATTAATATGTTCGAATCATTTTCTTAAAGAGAAACAAAGCAGGTAATATCAAATAACTAAAAGTTAATGATAAAGTTCCAAGAATGATTGGAAACTTAATCACTTGAAATTGGAATAAAAATAATCAGTTCTAATGAAAAATCTAATTTCTTATGTGCGATGTAGACTTACTAATGTTGCGGCACACCATTGAGTTCACCTAAAATTTTGAAAATTAATCATCAATAATTACAATTTTTTTATTTAAAATCAACTTGTAATTAAAAAAAATATTATCCTCCAAATGTATTATATTAGCACTTGTATTTTGAACGGGATTTAAAAGCAACAGAATAGTCAGCGCATGAAGTAGAAGACCCTCTCTCTCTCAGTTTATTACCATTTCTATAAAATAATACATATTTCCTCCACATGTATTTCATTTTTTTTTTATGCTTTGATTTTAATCAAGGCCAAGTCTATTCAGAGGCTAACATGTAGTTTCCAAGAAAGAACTTTAACTATCAAACTACCATATATATAAGGATATATCCAAAACCTTCACCACATCATCAATCAAACTATAAATTTTATTAAAACTTCAATCCATTATCTTCTTTCCTCTAAAATACCAAATCGAGAATCATAATGAAGAGCAAAGCAAACAAGTTCATGCAAATTGCAAGAGCACCCATTAGAATTCTATGCAAGGCAAGGGATTTCTATGTTAAAGGAATGTTAGATTTATCTAACAGTGGAAAGGTTGGCTATGGAACCGCAGGCAGTGGAGCCTCTCAATTGCCTAAGAGTTTTAGTGTTAATTCTTCTAAGGCAATGAACGATGAAGAGTTTAAGCAACTTCTGCAATTGTTTTCTTGCAAGCAAGATGATTTTTGTGGGATGAAAAGGAGTTATACTGTTCGGGTAGGAAAGATCGGGAGAATTGATGAGGATAGACCATGTTCTTTCAGAGAAGATGATAATGATGGGGTGGTTAGTTTGTATCCCAGAAGCAGAAGTCATGCTGTTGGAAGGAAAGTATTTTATTCCTGAACAATGGATTTTAGATAGTGTGATTCAATGATAGATTGTTTAGGAGTTAAATTAATCTTAAATTTTAGTGGATTATTTTAATATTTTTTTAGAAATCTGAAATTGTAAAGTAGTACATCAGAATTAATTCTGCTCTAAAATTTGAACACTTAAAGTTATTTATTTATTTATTTTCTCCCTTGTTGTACTCTCATATTGTTTGTAAAAAATTAGAATTGTCATATATTTTAAACTTTGAAGAATAATTATCATTGGAAGAGTTCAATCTTTTAGCTTTATCTGTCGTGTCCCTTTTTCATCCATGCCTAGTCAAATGACATTATTACAGCATTAAAAGTACCTAAAGTGCATTAAAAGAAGCAAACTGTTGAGTTAATTTGATGAGTTTGGGACTTCGTTTTCAAGCTCATATATAGATGAGTTTGAGTTAATGCTTGGATATATCCATGCAAGTGCTGAATTAAACATACAACCATGAAATGATAATAAGCATGCAAAATTAGTTCTGTATATATATATATATATATGTATATATATATATGTATTATTAACAAATAAGCTGTAGCTCATACAACAAAAAGGCTATATCATGGGTTTACAATCTCTTAGTTGCTTAAACATCTCAAATGTCAAATTTTGTATATGTAAAAGATGAAAAAAAAATCAATTGGCCTATTAGCTCAGTTGGTTAGAGCGTCGTGCTAATAACGCGAAGGTCGCAGGTTCGAAACCTGCATGGGCCATTTATATTGATAAATATAGTTTTGACCCGATCTTTGATAAGATCTATTTGTATTTTGGTTAATATATTTTACTTGTTATAAATTTAAATGTATAAACATGAAACATTTTTCTTATAAACATGAAACATTTTTTCTTAAGTTCATACCATTATTTAGAAAAATATGAATTTTTTTTCCTCAATCTATACAATTATTTAGGTCTGTTTTACTATGCAAAGTAAATAGTTTAATTAGACACAATTAAACTAAATTAAATTATTTAATTAAATTTGATTGTTGTTTTATAAAGAATATAGTTTGTAGTTTTGTTTCAGCTCCATTAATGATCATATTAATTTTAATAACAATTACAAAACAGAAAATATCATTAATATCTAAATCAAAAAATTAAATTATAGAAAATAATAAATAAATAAAATAAAAAGCCAAAATAGATATTGATAAAAAAGTAATTACTTTTAAAATAAAAATATGTTGAAATCTTTTTAATTTTGTTATATTTTCTATAGATATTTAAAATAATATTAATGATATTTATTGATTTTATTAATTATTAAAAAATTAGTAAGTTTATTATTTATTAAAAAGAGAAGTTGAAATATTTTTAAAATATTAATGACATTAATTTTATTAATTATTCTTTTTTTTTTTTTTTTGTTAAAGATAGGGAAATTAATTTTTTGGAAAAAAATTGTAAACACATCACAGTACTCCTAATTGTTATAGAGATTTGTCCATTGTGTTACTTATCAAATTCACCATATCAATATTGTTACCCTAATTTATTATTTATTATTTTCACTCTACTTGTGCATACAATCAAATCATTTCAGTGCCACCCCAATGGCCATGAATCACATATGTATGAGGCACCTACGTGACCATCTCTATTTACTCTAGCCTATTCTCCATCTACACTTCTAGATGTAATTTTTTTTTTTTTATTATTAGCAATATATATTTATATCTAAGAAAAACTTAGCATTTCCAAATTAATAAACTCAAATTATCAAATTGGTTAAATACGCTTAACCTAACTCGAAAATGGTAAATAAAAAAATTTTAAAAAGATCAACTTACATAAGATGATCTCTTTTTGAGATAAGATAAAAAAAATTTCAAATCACAACGATCAATAGCCTAACATATTAAAAAAAAAAAACAAAATAAAAAATTATGAGATATTTTAACATTGACCGCCAACAGAGAGTGAATAGCTTAGAAGACTGCCAACCCATAACTAGTTTATTAAATTAATAATTAATGGTATTTTTTTAATGTTAGATTTATCCGAAATTTCCACATTTTTCTTATGATCATAATGTTGTTTCCAAGAAAGAACTCAAAACTCCCATTTTCAATCCAAACATCTTACATATAAATAAAACCTCAAACGTAGCACTAATCCATCTCCAAATTTCCACGCAGATTTGAAAGTATTAACTCCACTGTTCTTGCTCTGTTGATATACCTTACCTCCAAAAGACTTATCTTTTCTTATTTTATTTTTTCTTATAATCTTTTAAATCAAAAATAAATTATTCAAGTCGAGATTAAGAGAGTGATAGAATTAAAAAACAAAATCAACAATGAGGGGCAAAGCAAACAAGAAAAGCAAGCTAATGCAAATTACAAGAGCACCCATTAGAATTTTATGCAAGGCAAGAGATTTGTATGTGAAAGGCATGTTAGATTTTGCTGATAGTGGGAAGGTTGGCTATGGAAGCACAGGCAGTGGAGGCCTTCACTTGCCTAAGAGTTTTAGTGTTAATTCTTCATCAACAGCAATGAAGGATGAGGAGTTAAAACAACTTGTACAATTGTTTTCTTGCAAGCAAGGTGATCTTTGTGGGATGGGAAGGAGTTACAGTGTTGGGGTAGGGAAGATTGGGAGAATTGATGAGGAGAGAAGATGATAATGATGGGATGGATAGTTTGTATCTTAGAAATAGAAGTCATGTTGTTAGAAGGAAAGTTGTTTGATGTTGAAAAAGACTGGAATTTAGATCATATAATTCAATAGATTGTTTGTGCTTAATACTGAATGTTGTAGTCTTGAATTTTGATTGATAAAATATTTTTTTGAAATTTGAAATTGTATAGTACTGCAAGAGAATTAATTCTCCATTTTTGAATTTTTTTTCCCCTCTTTTTGCATAGAAATTAGAATTTGTGTCAAAGCTAAAAATGTTTTGTCAGTGGGTCATTTATTTAATTTGAGTTTTAGTGGGATCCATAAGATTAAAAACTTTGCATACTTTTTAATTTTTTTTAATCAATTTAATCCTATTTTATTGATATTATTTTAAAATTGAGTAGATTCAGTTGAACTCACTACACTTGCTGTGGCGCTCAACATTGAAGAATAACTAGTCGAAAACCGCGCTTCACGCGCGGGTATTTAAATATTATTTTATTAATTATTATAGTTGATTGTATTATTATTTTTAATAAACTATTATGAATTATTAAATTGTTAGGTAGAACAATTAAAACTCCTCCTTGAAATAATTAATAATGGTTTAAAATGATTTGTAATAAAAAGACTATGACATTGTTTGCAATAGCATAATATTATAAATCTATAACTTTGTAATTAAGTTTTTTTTTTTTTTTTTTTAATCAAATTTTTTTTTTTTTTTTTTTAATCAAAATAACCCCATAGCGAGGAACTACAATATGTTAAAACTCAGCCAAAAATAGTTGGAAAAAAGAGTTGGTAAATTTCATTATTGAAGATATTTAGATACTTGAAATTGATTTTAAATAATAGCAGGAAAGAATCTAGGAAATAAAATTATATAGAGAAAATTTTTAAATATGAGATATACCTAATCGGGTGACTAAATAAATAGGAAAATGAAACTTAAATTGGATTGAATCTGATGATAAAAAATAGAAATTAAAACTTTTTTATTGAAAATTATAAATTCGTGTTTTACATTGGTTTTAGGGAAAACAAACAATGTAATAATGCAAAGGTTTTGTTAGAGATGATCTATTCAACAAATTATTTGTTATTTTCTATTAATTATCTAGTTATTTCTAATATTAAATAAATTAAAAAAATAAATTAACCAATTAAAATATATAGATAAATGAAAGAATAATTTTTATTCTTATAGATACAGGAAGTAGAGTAGATTTGTAAAAAAAAAACTAATAATTATCAAGTTATTTAATAATATGTTATTAATATAATATTAATATTAAATAAATTTAGAAAAAAATTATCCAATTAAAATATATAGATAAATGAAAGAGTGATTTTTAATTTTAATAGATAGCTATATAACTTCTATACAAACATTTACTTAGACTTATAGTTAGATACTAACGAAGTAATAGTTATCTAGTTATTTTCTATAAATATTGAATAAATTTCCAAAAAAGATTAAAAAATATACGGATAAATAAATGGATAAACTTTTAGTTTTAATAGTTATAGATCATAAATAGATATATAGTTAGAGTTGTAGTTAATTAAACACTAAAACAAAAAGAGAAAATAATATTTACCTAATTATTTTCTATTAATATTAAATAAATTTTAAAAAATAAATTAACAAACTAAAATATAAGGATTAATCAAGATAAAATATTTAATTGGGTAGGTACAAAACGTAGATAGATATGTAATTTGACTTATAATTAGATACTAACGCCATAAAAAAAATAAGTAGAATAAAAATAAAATTTAATTTTAATAGATGTGTTATAGTATATATATAAAAGGAATTGGCAAAGTTGTTGACATTCCCCACCACGAAACAAAACACCAAAATGATAGGGATATTCTTCCACTAGTATTAAATGTTTACGATTTGTATGCAAACTTTTATATCTCTTTTGTATGCAAACTTATGAAAAATACATAAGTTTCGTAGCAATTTTAAAATGTTCAAATCTAAATATATTTATCAAATTAAAATCGTTATTCAAGGTAAAGCATACATCCTATATGGTTTCCTTTTAATTTATATTTAATTAATTCTTTTAATAAATTACATAACCCAATCCCAACTATAATCTTAAATGTTTATATATACAATAAAGAATCAACGGCTAAATTAACTCAAAATCTTAAATAGTATTTTTTTTTAATCATTTTAAACAATTTTAGGGGTTAAAAAGGTCAAAAAATGAGCTTTTTAATCCCGCTAAACAAGTTTATAGACTAAATTGACATTTATTCCCCATAAGTAATCTCTGAAAATACATAGTCAAATTTATGCATTAGGTCACAGTCCATATGACCCGTTAGATAATACCTGTTTATTTCATTTGGCCTATTAGCTCAATTGGTTAGAGCGTTGTGCTGGTAACGTGAGGGATGCAATTTTCTTTTGTCCATATGACCCGAAACTTGCATGGGCCAATTTAGTAGCATCTATCAAAATTTTTAGTCCATTTACTAAAAATTAATCA